GGCTCCAGGAGGAGCAGGGGATGCCATCTCCCCCATTCTGAAGTGCTACATTTAAGTGTGCTGCGCAAGGCACTACAAGAGCAACAAGCAGGCCATGGAGGTAGCGAGAGCACCGGCGTCAGCCGCAACCAGGCCAGGCCAGTATCTCGGGGCGGAGAGAAAGTCACGCGTCTCCCCGAATGACCGAGGTGTGCGCAGCACCAACAAGGGCCAAAAGAAGAGGCAAGTACAGGGCCGCTTCGCTCCTGCTCTGGAATATGGAGTGAGTCTCCATCTGCTGCCATCGCCCTTACCTTCTCGGCTGAGGAGTGACTGGGAGGGGAGGGCGAGGGGCAGAGGCAGGGCCAGCCAGTGATGGGATCCGGTTCATCAGGGAGCCACAGCAAGGGTCCCAAAGAGCCACATGCGGCTCCAGAGCTGTGGGTTGCCGACACCCGGATTAGACCAAGCTGGCTCTTTAGAGATGGCAATTAACCAGCATCTTGAATTGTACTCAGAAGCACAATGGAAGCCAAAGCAGCTTGTAAAGCAGAAGTATATGATTTACTGAGGTGCATTCATAACTGCCTCTACCACTGCAATCTACATTAGCTGCAGCTTCCAGCCTTCAATAATCCAAAATGACAAAATAGACCTAATATAACATCCTCCTTTCTTCTAGCACAATTTGGATCAAAGATATGATTCTGATATTCTGGATTCCCATCACTGCCAACCACAATGGAAAATAACATGGCAGAGACAGCCCAAATCAGCTATGGTTTCCTGCTTCTGGTGTAAATGATAAGCACCATCTCTGAGAGAGATATATCTTCAATATTAGGAATGTGGAGAATCAGTCTGAACTTCTATCTGCCTCTCCTACTCGTCAGTATTCCTAGCAGCCAAGCTTAGCAGGACAGCAGCATTATTTTCTCCAAAGCACAGGAGTCCTTTTTGACGCTCAACATAACAGCACTATAATCACACCTGGCCACTCTTTTAAATAAAGGTTGACCATCACCAAACTCAAAAGATTTGTTTAGTCATCATCTTTTCAGTACTGGAGAAGCCAACAACTGCTATGGACATTCTATAGAGACACAAAGCTCACCTATTTTGAATACACCCAAGTCTAAACATATGTAGTTAATCCTCAATTTACAACTGTTTGTTTAGTAACAATTTGAAGTTATTCATGAGCATTTTCACTTATGACTGCGGCAGAATTCCCATGGTCACATGATCAAAATTCAGACTCATATTTATGATGGTTGCAATGTTCCAGTTGTTGTGTTGATCATGAGATCAACTCTGGCAATCTTTAGCTAAGCAATGTCAATGGGAAAGCTAGGTTCACTTAACAACTGTGTTACTAACTTAACAACTGCAGCAATTCACTTAACAAATGTGGCAAGAAAAGCCATAAAATAGGGCAAAATTCACTTAACAATGGTCTTGCTTACCAATAGAAATTTTGGTCATAAGTGGTTGTAAGTTGAGGACTACCTGTACAGTTCAGTTGCCATTATTAAATCCATAGGAGAGAAGTGCCAGTGAATTGGATTATGTTCTATTGATGTTAAGAGACCAAGCAATTCAATTGGACTCTAAATTCAAAAATACACATACCTGGAAGACTAGGAAGTTCCTAGCTTTGATCAGAATGCCCAGCTTTTCCAACTCCTCACTGTATTCACTCAACTGTACCACCTTGTTGTTTATTTTGTACTCTGATGAGCTTCCTAAAAGACAAAACTTTCATTTACCTTCAACCAAAAAATACATACATATACATATGTGTGTGTGTGTATGTATCGTTTACATTACGTTTGGGGCTGTATTGAATAGAGGAATGTAAGGAACATTCCTCTATTCAATATGGTGGGACTCACTTCAGATCCCATATCCATGAATCCTTGAAATCCAACCACCAACATTTTGCAATATGGGATCCTGGATCCTCCATCCATTCTAGATCTCGCAAGAATTTCCCCAACTAACATTTAACACTTACCCACGATGACTCTTGCAAAGGTGCGATCTTCAATACCATCTTCAGAGTAGACCATGCTGACAAATGCCCGGTTGGCGGCTGGTTTCCCAACAGGAGCTCCATGAATCAAGTCTCGTAAAGTCTTTACTCTCAAATTACTCGTCTTTTCACCAAGCACAAAGCTGATGGCATCCATGAGGTTTGACTTGCCTAGATGAAAGACAGCAAAGAGACATATATTTCAATATAAATGTGCTTAGTAAAATATTGGACTGTCATTTGAATCAGCACTTGCCAAGCCTTGGCATTACAATCTTTATTTGATGCTCATCTTTTCAGAGTATTGTTTCTGGGCATGTGCAAATTATGAATTTCTCTCATATATAAAAAAAATCTTTGATTGAAAAGTAGGTGGTATTTTACCAACCTCTTCATGGTTGAGCTGCTCAATCCAACCAATAATTACTATCTCCATCATGCTGAAGTGACTTTTTTCTTGAGCCACATGCAGATGCAACTGATATTTTCCTCTTTGCTCCTATGCAATTATTGAAATCTTATAGTAAAAATTAAATTTGCAATATTTGGGTGAATCCTGCATACACATATATTACCCACAAGAAAAATTTAATTACTTTTCACCACTGTCAATACCACATTATAACAAATCTCATTTTTTCCATATTGTCCTAGTTATTAGACTCCACCAGGTAATGTTCAACTCCTAGTGATTGCATGAACAAATGGTTGGCAGTTCAACTTTTCTTCAGACCTATACTATCACTTTTTAAATTCTGAGAAAGCTAAGCCTTTTTCCACAGCTGCATGGCAGGCAGAATCTCAGCAGGGATTCTTTATGCAATTAAATATACTACCTCGTGGGACTTGATCTAACACACAATTTAAAAAAAACCCACCTCAATCCTATATTTTATTAATGTCCCCGTTACTTCTTAATTCTTCTAACGTACACATCTGCTCACAGGCATCCCTTGTTACCATACCTATCTATTGCCCAGTACCTGAAATAGGTAGGCAGCTGCATAAACAAGCAAGGATGAGCAAACGGGCAATACTTTTAGCACATCTGAAACAGCATTAACTAGATTCATAATCAGGGATCCCAAAGGTGTTTCCTAACGCATCTCCACATGAACATCTTTCAAATATAAAAATGTGCTCAGAACTGAGACACATGCAAAAACAAAGGAGTGAGGTCTTGTGGAACTGGAACAGGCATAAAGTTTACATTCAGATGAAAATCCAACCACTTTTTGACTCTATTCCAAAGTGTATTCAAGTGGTTTATACAATACAATATTGCTATATTGCTTCCTAATTCTAAAAAAGCACATCTCCACACAGATATTGTCACTCAGATTTTAGCCTAAGCCTTCACCCTGCAATACTAATTTTCTCAATTGTATGATGGACCATGTGCTGGAGAGAAGCATTTAATCATACCTACTCCCTCTCCCACAAATAGGCTATGTTCACTACAACTATAGCTCAAATAATAATACTTTATTGAACTTGTATGGCCACTGAACTCTGGGTAGCGCATACCAAAGAAATTACAATAAAATCAATAAAACATTTAAAAAGATAAAAGGCATGCCAAGCACGTTTATTTACATACTGTTTATTATTAGCATTTATGTTGTACGCTGCAGTCACGGTTGAATTATAAATCTTGAAATAATGTTGCCAAATTCCTGTCCTATAACTTTTTAAACCATAAAACACAATTTAACCATGTTGTGTGTATTGAGACAGTGGGCAACCCAAACACACAACTCACTGATAAAAAGAGCTACACGGTGGTAAATTATCTGTGTTCACTAGACATTCTTCCCTTCCCTTTTTCTGCAGCAAATGCCAATCAGGATAAATCGTGCAACTTAGTGTAAGAGCCAGGCACCTCTCGGTTGCACAGGGTGTGTGTGTGTGTGTGTGTGTGTGTGTGTGTGTACAAACATCTTGAGCTAGGTAAGAAAAAACCCTGATTAGAAAAGTATTATATATATATATATGTATATACACACACACACACACACACATATATCCAGGAGCTGGCCATCTCTATATCAGGGGTCTCCAACCTTGGCCCCTTTAAGCCTGGAGGACTCCAACTCCCAGAATTCCCCAGCCAGCAAGCTGGCTGGGGAATTCTGGGAGTTGGAGTCCTCCAGGCTTAAAGGGGCCAAGGTTGGAGACCCCTGCTCTATATCATTCTCACTGATGCCAAACCTAACTGCCTTCAACCCGGGTCAAGCAGCCGCCACCAGCCCAGAATAGCGATTCATTCAGACATGCAAGCACGCATCGCAGCCGGGCTTTGCTCTCGCCGAAGCCCACCGAGGGTAGCTTTCGCTGGGCTAAATTACACGGCTTTTGCTTTCTCCCACCCACTCACCTCCCCATCCGGGCCGCGATACGTCCACCCCAGCCGAGGTTTGCCTTACCAGATCCATTGGGCCCGATGATGGCCGTGAAGCGCCGGAAGGGCCCGATGATTTGCCGCCCTTTGTACGATTTGAAGTTCTCGATCTCGATCAGTTTGAGGAACCCCATGTTGCAGGAGGGGGGCAGGAGAGGCGGAGGGTCGGCGGGCCCCGACACGTGAACCCGGGCCAACCTCGGCTGCCCACTCGGGGACCCCTCCCGGCCCCGTTCCGCTCGAAGCCCGCTTTCCACAAGGGCGGGCGCCCGAAAATCTCGCGAGAGATTTTCTACATTCTCAACCCCTCCAAACCCGGGAGCGCTCCCTGAGCCGTCGCCTCAGCCACGCCTCTTTCGAAATACCGGAGATTGATTGGCTGTCCGCTTCTCGAGGCGTTAGAATCAGAGGTCTTCAAACTTGGTAGCTTTAAGACTTGTGGACTTCAACTCCCAGAATCTTCCCAGCTATGCTATGCTGGCTGGAGAATTCTGGGAGTTGAAGTCCACAAGTCTTAAAGCTACCAAGTTTGAAGACCTCTGCGTTAGATAGACGAAGCTGTTCTCGGCCACCCCTAGCGGTGGCCTTCGCTCGCTTTGCCGCTCGCTGATAGGCTTCTTTTTACGGCCCTTCTAAATTTGCATAAATCGACGTTCCGGTAGATCGACTACATCCGCTTGAAGAGGGAGAGAATGCGAAGCCGTTGCCATAGAAACCAGACATCAACAAATTTTGCCGAAAGTCGAGCGCGGGAGGCTATTATTTAAATCCGCGCTCCTGCTCCCAATTATAGGTTATTTTAGTATTTTAAATTAAAATTTTAATATTATTTCGAGCCGTCCGTTCGAAAGGAACGCTTACTATCACAGACAGGCCTCCCCAGTGATCTTGTATTACTAGGGATCCTAACTCTGAACCTCTGCGGGTTTTCTCATAAGCAAAGGAAATCTTTTTTTTCTCCCCCAACTCGATCGATTTAGGACTTTCTTCGGCACAGAATCCAGGGAGATCGCTAGGTCGTTAGTTTGCAGGGAATCGCTAGCTCCGAACGGCCGGTCAGAAGTTTCTAACGTTTCTCGCAGCCTGTTGCAGGAGTATAACGATGTATAAGGTGGACATTCAGGCCGACCTGAGAGAGGCGGCTGCCGTTGAAGCCCGCCGGAACCGGGAGAAGCAGAGACAGAGCCGCATCTTCAATGCTCGCTATCGTACAATCGGGGTAAGACTCCAGGAGTGGCTATGGGGAGACGGAATGGGACAACTGGCCACTGTGGTCACCTCGCCACAGCAAATTCGCCACGGCCAACTCACCGCGGGACAATTTATCAATTCAATTTCATGATTTAAAATGAATAAATAAATGGTTTTCACTTTTGTCATTCAGGTTTCATTGTGTCCCTCCTTTTGCACCCTTTCTTTAATGATTCTATTCCATCATTTCTTTGCTATAAGAAATGTCCTGCAGAGAGTTGGCCGTGGCAAGTTCGCCGTGGCAACTTGGCCGTGGTGAGTTGGCCGCAGCAAATTGTCATAGACCCATTGGGAGAAGGGGTGCCTCCACTGGAAATCCCAGAAAAGGAGCTCACCGGTGATAGAAATTCATCTGGTTGCTAACCTTCCTGAGTATGAATGTGGCTTTGCAGAGAAATTAATGTTCAGTTGATGGTGTGCAATGGGAAGCCATTGCACATACATACATGTATGCTTTGTTGGGATTGATATTTAATTTAATTTAATTTAATTAATTCAATTTATATGCCGCCCCTCTCCAAGGACTCAGGGCAGCTCACAATACATTTTAAAAAATCATTATAAAAAAACATTTAAAAATTAAAAACATTAAAAACTCATTCACGCCATTCATGGCCGGATCTCGCCAGATCACAAGAGCGAGATCAACGGCCCCAAGCCTGCCGGAAAAAACAGGTCTTCACCGCTTTTCGGAAGGCCAATAGGGTGGGGATGGTCTGGACCTCAGGAAGTAACTGGTTCCAGAGAGCTGGGGCAGCCACAGATATCTGAAAAGAACCCCAGAAAACTGTATTTAATGTGCACATTGCAAGCCAAGCAAACATGATTTGAAATGGGTTTCTGATTCTGCTCTAGAAAATACATGCCAACCCCGGTTTACTGATTTAAATATAGTATTGTGGAAAGCTGAAAAAAGGGTTAAGAAACTCCATTTAAACTTATGTGTGAAAGCAGTGTATGGAAATCTATGGTTCACTTTGGTCTGGAGACCCCTAAAACTGAGCAAATGTACAGGATTACCATGAACTGGATTTTGGATGGAGCAAATGAGTTTCTTTGTGGCATGACATTTGGATTTTGTTACCTTTGAACTCACTGAAATAACATGTGAAGGAAATAGGGTTCCAGTTTTACCTTCAGCATCATGAAATTGAATGCAAAATTGAATTGCTTGAACTATATCTCCACAAAATAGGTGTAATAAAAAGAGATTGGGTTGATAGACAGCATTAAGCCATTGTTTAATCAAGGTTTACTTATCTAAAACATTTATATAGCTGCCTATCTTATAACCAGTTCTGGGTGGCTCTCAATCCAAAGTTAAAACAGTATTAAAAACTATGTTAAAATTATAAAATTAAACACCTTACAAATGTTAAACCACAATTGGTTTGGTTCCTGGAATTCTTAAGTCAAAATCAAACATTTTCTACTTTTAATTTACTGGTACATTACAAAATTGGCACTTAAAGAGGTTTCATCAGAAAAGTGAAGAGGCTTGGAATTTTGAAATACACTAAAGCAAGATATTGAAACATAACTCGCTACCAGCTGCAAAAAAACATAGTTAAAAATCAGGTCCAATGTGTTCTTGCCAAGCAAAATTCTGATGAAGCAGGGCCTTTTAGATGATCTGAAAGAGTAAGCCAAATCATGAGAGGAGGTTAACACTACTATTTTTTTTACTGCCAAAATCCAGATTTGTCTTTAACAAACTTTTGCATGGGATACAAAAACACACAACAATGAAACAATTTACAATAAAGTTAAACTCCCAATCACGTTTAACAATCACCCTCTGTAAATTCTGACAACATCCTGGCCCCAGTACTTGGGGAAAAAGCCAGGTCTTCAGTGCTTTCCTGAAGACCAACCCAACTGTTCATTGCTGCCATGTAGTGGTTGTTCAGATTTTTGTAGATATGATGGCCCTAGATAAAGCAGGTCTTATTGTTTTGCCATAATATACAGTCTTTTAAGATACCTTTGCTTTTACAGCAGTTGGATGAAGTGGGAGGGGAGCATCCTGTTTGCTGAGGAAGTTGCCTCACCTTATTTTGCTATTAAGATGCATGGTCATTAATGTCCCTTGCCCTCAAGGTGGACATAGAAGGCTTGAAGAGGCAAGTGGAAGAGCGCAAACTGAGAGAGAATATAGAGAAGCGGCGAGAGGAAGCCTTTGGTAAGCCTGTCTGGTCCACTGTATTGAACCTGTCCTGGATTCTTGGTTAATTTTATGGAAAAATGTGTGTCTTGGCAAAGTGAAATTTGTTTAACTCATTAGGAGTAGTGAGAAGAATCTTAAAGACTGACATCCTGTACATGTGTCTATGAGTGTTCCATTGAACTTGTGAGAATTATTTTTGAGTAGCCATATATAGAATTGTAGCATAAGTTTTTTTTTAAGAAAAGAAGATGCTAGTGATAGCTGGGAAAACCAGGTACAATAGGACCAGTCCTCTACCATTTTGGCAAATGAAGCTGGGGAAAAGTCTCCTGACATGGTCTGCTGGAGAAAAAATAGCAGAACTCTTTCCCCATCCTATTTCTCTGTCCATCGATTAAGATTTGAAAGCAAGTTCTCTCTCTGGTGAGCATCGTATCATCGAAATGCTCAAAATTAGAATAGTTCAGAAACCTTTGTGAGGTAGCTTCTTGGAAGGGACCATCAAGAAAATAGGGCTCTTTTAAAATAGTAGTTATACAGTGCATTTCATATAGCTTTACATTATCCATACTGTCTATTTCCTATGGATCTCTAATGTTTATTCAACAATACCCTAAGTAAAGTTCCTTTGCAGCATTAATAGCTTTCTTCTTTAGCTTCTGATCCTTATTCGCTCAATAGAGCAGTGTTATTGTAGCCTGCCCCATGGCAAACATAATTCTTCATGAATTATAAATTAAAAGACAATAAAATGCAACAATTAACACAGAAAAGGAAGGCATTAGGCAATGAAAGGGTGGAAAAACCTGCTTAAAGTGACAATTCCTCACGTGAGGTGCCATAAGATGAAGTGCCTTTTCTTACACAACCTCCCTACCTGTATTTAGCAGGAAAAACAGTGCCCTAACAAGTAGACAAAAGGAAAATTATCCCTTAGATACTTGGGCCTCAACCGTTCAAGACTGTAAAGATCAGCAAGGCCAAATAAGGTTGTCTGAATTTCGCATAACATAATCCATCAGCCTCAATTAACAGAACTATACTTAACCATCTAAATTAACATACGAAATCAAAACAAACCACATTATGACTTAATGTGAGGGCCCAATTAATTAATCACTGTGATTTATAAATGTAGCAATGAGCAATTCCTGGGTGGTTGTAGTTAGCATCCCTATTTTTTAGAGGCTCTTGGGAAATCTTGTAGATAGTGTCATCATTGAATAGATGTGGGTGAAATGTTCGGCCATTTGGGAAGAGGGGATGAGGTTAGGTGTGGGAGAGGGATAGAAATCTTTCTCAGGACTAACACCCACATACAGCAAAAAGTCAGCCAGAATTTCCAATTCTGATTGGAAAAATGTAATCAGAATTCAGTCATGCAATCTCAGAATGCAGCTTTAATATGATATTCTGATTTAATGCAATTTAATGTTTTCTGATCCCATCATTTCAATTATGGCTGAAAATCAACTGGAGGTCAGTGCAGATGACAAAGTACAGATAGTTCTCAACTAGCAACAGTTTGTTTAGTGACCATTTGAAGTTACATCAGCACTGAAAAAAGGGATCATTTTTCACACTTACACCTGTTATAGCATCCCCATGGTCATGTGATCAAAATTCAGATGCTTGGCAACTGATTCATGTATATGATGGTTGCAGTGTCCCAGGGTCATGTGATCATCTTTTGCAACCTTCTGACGAGCAAAGTCAAGGGGAAAACTAGATTCACTTAACAACCATGTTACTAATTTAAAAGATTCAGTGATTCACTTAACAACTATGGCAAGAAAGGTTATAAAATGGGGAAAAACTCACTTAATGTCTCACAGAACTAGCAACAGAAATTTTGGGCTCAATTGTGATCAAAAGTCGAAAATTTCTACAGGTCTATAAAGGTCATAGAAAAGTGGATGCAATAATTTTGACAATGGGATCAACTGTATATTATTAAAAACGTATTTACACGGGATGCAATGTTTGAGGAAAAAGATAAAAGCCAAAGATAACAGCTGCTGAACTATTTAAAATGATCCATCAGGCAAACAGCTTTGGTGTGCTTGGGGGTTTGTTAGTTTTTCATTTCCATACAGTTTGGGTTTTGTGGAAGTTAAAATTTTATTAATTTTGGTGCAGAATATCCATCCCACCTCCTCACTCAGAAGGCCCATCCTATTTTATTTCAGAGGGGCACATGGCACAAATTGTGCACTGCATAGCACTGTCCTAACATTTTTGTACAGATGCAGACAGGGTGCAGTGTGACAAGGTTGCCCAGATGTTAGAGGAAGAGAAGCACCAGCGGAAGAAATTGTTATGCCAGGATCTGGTGGAGTTCCGTGAGCGGGAGCAGCAGCCTTTTACGCGGCGGGAATGGGATATCCATGACCCCGAGGTGGTACGCAAAGGGCAGCCGGCCCGTGTGAGTGATGACGACCCACGCTGTGGCCCTTCTAGCATGCAGTGCTTTGCTGGTGAGGATCTGAATGCAGTTGCCCGCCAAAAACTGCAAAAGGAGAAGAACAAGCATGCGCTGGAGGAGCAGAGAAATGAACGGAATAAGAAACTTGCTGATCAACAATATGCAGGTATGTTTGAATTGGGGAACGAGTAGCAGAGTTGTTCTTGGGATGAACTGCACGTCCATGGGAGGTCCACAAAAGGAACGTTGCTCTGCAGCTGCTACTATGAAGAATAACATCCACCTGCTCCCTCTGCTGGCTCTGCCACAAACCATTTGGGTATAAGCAAAGAACAATATCCACAACTGTAATTTGATAATCTGTAATCCAGTGGGATATGTTTTGTATAGATTGTTTTATATTGCACCTGTTTTACACCCTCCCAACCTTGCAGATAATCTGGAAGACAAAAAAAGAATAGAGCTGGATTTGCGAGCCCAGGAGCTGGCACAATTAGAGGAAGAATGTCGCAGGGCTAAAGCCATGGCATTAGCAGACTTTAACCGAGCCCAGGTACTTTTGGATTCTCCCAGCCGTTTCTCTATACCCTGTTCCAGGACACTGCCTCAAGAAAGGTGAAAGTTTGAAGATTTGGTGTTCTTGCTGTATCCCAACAGCTGACTAAGGGTGTGGGTGAAAGGAATGCCAGCCCCTTCATAGCTCATCGGCTTTCTTTTGCCCCCTGAACCAGGCTGCAGAGGTTGCAGAGCAGCAACATGTATCCCAGCAGCGTGAGCAGGATGATAACTATGCTGAGATCCACAACCATCTGACTGGCAATCTCCTGTCGGAAGACCCTAGCATTGCTAAAAGCTTGTTGGGGTCACACCGTGTGATTACTGACCGCTGGAAAGGGATGAGCCCTGAGCAGCTGCAGGCTGTGTGGCAAATGCAGAAAGAACAGTGCCGAGAAAACCAGGTGAGGGATAAGAAAGAGAGGGCTGAGGAGAATTGGTTCTTTGGAGGAATGACCACCAACATGGGAAACAGGTACAGGTAGTCCTCAACGTACGACCACAATTGAGCCTAAAATTTGTTTCTAACTGAGACAGTTATGTTAATTTTGTCCCATTTTATGACCTTTCTTGCCAGTTGTTCAGTGAATCGCTGCAGTTGTTAAGTTAGTAACACCGTTGTTAAGTGAATCTGGCTTCCCCATTGACTTTGCTTGTCAGGTCACAGGAGGTGATCACACGACCCTAGCACACTACAACCATCACAAATATGAGTTTCTGAATTTTGATCATGTGACCATGGAGATGGTGTAACGGTTGTATGAAAAATGGTAATGTCACTTTCTTCGGTGCTGTTGTAACTTCAAACTATATGAACTATCGTAAGGCGAGGACTACTAGTAATAGGTAAAGTTTTGCATAGTAAAAACATTTTTATTTGTGTTACCCTGGATTGATCTATACCTGGCTAATAATTCATAATCAATCAAGGCAGAAGAGGAGAACCTAGTTCTGTGATTACCCCATGAACATTCTCAGAAACTGCATAATACTGTAAGATCTTAATGGACATGAAGATTCCTTTGTTCCTTGGGAGGGAAGAACATGCCAGACATGAGTTGCTTGTATGGAGGCTTTGAACCTGGACTGAGAGGTTTAAGTGATCCTGGAGTTGCAATTGTCTCAGCTTATTTTAAGGCAAAATTGTGTTCTCAAGTGTATCTGAACCTTGGCAACTTTAAGATGTGTAGACTGGCTGGGCAATTCTGAGATCTGAAGTCTACACATACTGTATAAAAGCTGTGAAGATTGAGAAACACTGCTCTAGACAATATCTTAAATATATAGGTTACTTGCCCTGTGAATCTCTAGTTGAGGAAAAAGAATGGAGGCAAATGAACGTAATAATAATCACAGCCTAACGACAACTCAAGTTATTCTTCAGTAATGGATCTTTTTCCTAACAGTTGTATCTGGGAAAGAAAATTGTCTTGTAAAAGTCCTCATTATCTTTGTATATTAGATTATATTATCTTTTCCTTTTCCTGAGCCTAGTATTAGTCGGTATATTTCCCATGCTTGTTAATCGTATGAGAGGGGTCGGTGACAAAACGTGGAAGCCAGATAATTCATTCTTACATATTTGGCAGTTTCAAGTGTTGGAAAGTGCTTCACACATACTGTATCTCAGTGAATCCTTACAAAAGCTCAGGTTTGTGTGAGCTCCGTCAAGATATGTGGCAATGCGGGACAGAAGTTGAGAGTACAGTACAATAGCTTGCTTACATCTCCTGATTGTTTCAATTTGTGAGATGCTGAAATTGGGAACCAGGGTTGTCCTTCCTATGGATCTGTTCTCACATTTCATGTGCCTCTTTGTCCCCTGCAGAGACTTCGGCAACAGGAAAAGCAACGGGATGCTGAGTGGGACAGACAGAGGGAACTGGCAGCTCGTGCAGCCATGCAGATGGAGGAGCAGGAACAGAATTTCCGTGCGCAGCTGAAAAAGAGCCTGGACGATTGCAACCACGAATTGGCTGATGCCCAGAAATCCAAGTAAGTAGTCCAGGGGTAAAACATTACACAGAAATATGACATGCATTTTGCTGGATTTGAAATAGCCTAGGGGGCAACAGAGTAAGAAATTGGTAAGATGTGAAAGAGCAGAGCTCTCCAAGCACCATTCTTGAACTACTGTTTGGCATGCTGCGAATACTTCCAATTAAAACGTATCATCTGAAAGGCCTCCGGAATATGCCTGTTCTGTTGCAGCGTCTGCTCTCTGGAATGAGCTTCCCCAAGATCCAGTTCACCTCCCACACTCTTGCTGATGTTTCAAAAGGCCTGAAAGCCTCAGTAACGAAGGCTTAGTTACTTCAGCTAGGCCTTTGGCAAGAGTAATTAAAAGCCCCATTAGCTTGTGTGGGCTTGTTTTTCTTCCTGTCTGATTGGTTCTCTTTTATTCCTTCTTGTTTATTCCCATATTGTTTTGTGAATGATGATTATTTGTGAACCAATTATACTCAGGAGGTATACAGATTTCATTAATAATAATTTGGCTTCAAAATTAAGCTGCAGATGGGAAGCTGTATGCTAAAAAAACCCAGGCAGACTGGAAGTGAAACATTGATTTTTATACCTTTCTGAACCTTTTTTCCTGGGCTTCATTTTGAAAAAAATATGCTGCTCATAACTATCTAAAAAGACCCACCTACTCAGCCAGGAAACCAGAGGCGTCAAGATGCTATCTGTAGTTACTCATTTATAGAAATGCATACATATGTCTGGTTTTTATATATTCCTAGCTTAAATTCTGTCCGTGAAGGATTTCAACCCTGGGACAAATGAGGTGATAATCTTTTCCATATAATCTGACTACATTCTTTTCTTTGACAGCTTGAAGTATCTGGAGAAAGAAGTCTACACCAATGCACCTACAGCCCACTATTATTTACAGTTTAATACTAGCAGCCGCTGATGGAAGATGCAGCTGGCAACAGTTTTGGTATGCAAAATAAAGTTGATTTTCTTATGGAAAAAGGACTTCTCCAGTGGCTGTAGAAGACAGATACCAGCCTGGGCCTGAAATGTAGCCTGGGCCTGTTTAAATGTGATCATGCAGAACTTTGCAATTTGGGATGGGTACTTTCAAGATCAGATGTTTGGTATATGAAACATTACACAAAATGTGTATGGATATATACCACATTCAGAGAATCAAAATGTCAAATATTTATTGTCTAATGATTTCATAATAGTTTGCTTGTTATTGTTCTGACCTAGGCTTCCTGAGTCATTAAAACACATGAGTAGTCCCAAAAACCTCTTTTATTCCAACAGCTGTGAACAGAAGTTCATTCACAGATGAGTCCCAATTAGTTATAAAGAGTCCTTCGTGAGAAGTCCTTTGGGATAATCACCCATCTTTATCTCCCTTGACATGCTGCCAAAGACCTAATTGGCAAAGCCACACGGAGTCCAGAATCAAACAGAGCTTCAGACTTTAAGCTGAACCGAATGACCAAACTTGCTTCCTGCAAAGGCCCACATGCCTTTGCTCCTCTTTTAAGTCTTATCGGAGGGGCCAATCATCTCCCAGCCCTACTCCTGAGACATCACTTTTGTTTTAGCTGTTCTTGCCTTCTGACAGCTCTATGCATGTGCACACTGGGAACAGGCTCCCCCTGTTCCTCTGCCTCGCTGAGGTCTGACTCTGGAGGCTCCGGAGGCAGCACGTACCTCCCATGTGGCCTTTTCTCTGCCTCTGATGCAGAGCCCTCGTCCAAGACTTCCCCAGACTCCAGGACTGGCCCATGGTCCTCCCCAGCCTCCTTACTGTCCAACTCTGCTGCCAGCTCTGCAGGCTGCTGGTGGACCACAACAGTTATCTCCTTGACAAACAAGAGCCATCGTACAATCAAAACTAACTATAATCCCACAGAGCTCACTTCTTGATCTCACATGGGTTAAGTAAGTACTTAGTTTACATTTATCTGCATTTGCAACAAGCCAAAATGACAGATGTGTGGTGACTATATTATCGTGTAAATGCTGCAATTGTACACTTACATGTGAACTTGCAGGATACAAGTTGTAATGTTTGAATTATGATGCATATTTTATCCAAGTTTGTGCTTATAGTACAGGCAGTCCTTGTTTAACGACCACAGTTGGAATTGGCAGCTCTGTCCTTAAGCAAAGCAGTCCCTAAATGTGAAATCACATGTGGGTAATTGTGTCTTCCCTTTTCCGCTCTGGCCCCTTTGCCTGGATAGCCAACTTGAAACTGACAAGACCAATCAGTTTCATACTTAATCTGCCTTCTAACCATTCCCCCATCCTTTGGAATGCTCATCCCAGTGCTGGGATAATTAGCAAGAAGGGAATTAATCCGGAGAAGTAGTTTACAAGAGAGTAAGCATGCAACACAATAGGGACTATACATTGAAACAAGTGCAGTGGTGCTGGCAGCCATAAATATACTCTGCACACCACCTGGTGTATTCTCTATTATGTCTGTTTACTCTCTTGTAATCCCTTCCTCTTCAATCTCTCCAATGGGGGGAGAAAAAAACAGGCACAAGGTTTGTTACTGTTTGACTTGAGGGTTGTTACTGTACAAAAGTTATAAATGTAGGTATTGATTGTAATTATTTTTTTCAGCACTATCATAACTGCAAACAGTCACTGAACAAGGCAGTTGGTAAGCAAGGACTATGAATACATGAAAATAAGTTGATGATTGGAACCAAGCAAGTCACTCTGCTCCAGAGAAGCCACCATTCACTCTTTTCAAAGAGAAGAGCAATAGAACCTTATGTGAAATCCCCAGATCAGATTTGAATTTTATTTCAAAAGAAAGATTTTGCTGAACCAAGATTGGAATTTTCCTGCCACTCATGTTTTGGAACTTTCCCTCCAACAGCTGTTCTTCCTTCTCTGTTCTCCCTCCCCGCCACCCTCCACTTCCAGGTTTCCTTTGCATTTGGTTATCTTGAGACATTTTATACTTGCTTTTCTTTGAGAGAAATTAATATTACATGAGCAGAGTCACAGCTGAGAAAATTCATAAAACCAAAAAGCTATGTATTCATATAATTCAATAAACCAGATATATGAAATATTTGTTACCATATATCTTTTAAATGGCATTTGGGGGGGCACTTCAGAAACCCTAAAAAATTGGGGCAAAACACTGTGCACTTTGAAAAGGATTTAAAATAAGCATATTTAACCTGGCCCTTATTTTTCTCTTCATTAAAGCAACCTTTTTTTCCCCCAGGCCTCAGCACAAGCATGAAAAAGCAAATTTTCAGGCTGCTTTAATGAAGAGCAGAGAAGTATTGGGCTTGCACCAAGTCCAAAGTGCGTTTTCTAAATCACTTTCACAACATGTACAGCCCTGAAAGTTGCATTTATTAAACACTGATTTTAATCTGATTTTTACACAGTGTAGAAATAGCAATTTACATTACCTCTCATCTCATTCCCTGCTTTAAAATACATTAGGAAGTATGCGGGGGGGGCTCTCTCTCTCTCTCTCTCTCTCTCTCTCTCTCACACACACACACACACACACACACACACACACACACACACACACACACGAAGTAGGTCTGGGTTGCCAAAATACAGAAATGCAGTGAGATAAGATAGACCCCATGACCCCGAAAGATTTACGTGTTCAAATTATATGGTGATTTTTGCAATCAACAACTGCAAACCATGGTTTACAACAAAGCCTTTTGTCAATACCTGAACATTTATGGTTTGATAAACCATGATTAAATAAATCAGAATAATCATAATATGTGACCTTACCCAGAAACAATTGTCTCCGTTTTTCAGAATTAGGGGAAGTCTGTTAAAAGAAATTGGAGATGCATAAAATGTATAGCTTTCAGTATGGCTACTAGTAATGGGGGTGTGGGGGTCAGGGGGAGCTTATACAGCAAGTGAAAGAAAAGAACAATATCTGATCAGTGATTTATTTAGAGTCAGATGTTAATCATTTCTTTTGCCAACCTTGATTTCAGTTCTGTGATTATGATCCAAGGAGAACATCCTTTTTTTTCTCGCAGGCTTGGGCTATGGCTCAGGGCTGCATTCGGATAGCCCCGTCAAGCCGTATTACTTCACCATTTAGCATAGGATTCTCCGCTATGCATTGTACCAGATGAGCATATTCTTCTGGAGCCCCAAGGCGACTTGGGAAAGGCACCTGCCGTGACAGGAATGTCCGAACTTTTTCAGGAAGTGTCCCCAGTAGAGGTGTCTCAAAGAGCCCTGGAAGAAACAAAAGCTGCTCAGGTCTGCTCCTCCTGGTCCTACACCTTGTCACTCCTATTAAGCAGTAGCCCATAATATACTGTGTGCTCTAGGAGTTAAGTATGGAGTTCAGTTTCCTAATAATCTTGTGCCATGCACTGCTGAAGTCTGAGATCTGATAAGGGATTGCTGAGGAATCCTTTGAACTAATAAGTGAACAAAATAAAGTAAATTAGTGAACCGGTCAAACTTGATTATGAAAACGTAAGTCTGCATAATCTATTACATAACCGTAAGGCTTAAGTGTTTGAGGAAGCACAAGGTCATATGCAGATGGTCCTGCCATTTTAGGACTGAACACCTTTTAAAAGGTTGACTTTTCTCTCCTATGGCTTAGATTCAGGGTGGTTTTGGTTACCTGGTGCAATGGTAACAACACGAATGCCAAGAGGGGCAAGATCTCGGGCGATGGGCAGGGTCATTGATACAATGCCTCCTTTGGAAGCCGAATAGGCAGCCTGTCCCACCTGCATAACGAAAAAAGGGCTTAATTACCTCAAAATGACATAATAAAACATACTCACTTGCTAAGAGCATACAGATTGTCCTCAATTTACGGCCACATTTGGGCTTGGAATTTACATTGCTAAGTGATGTGGTCATAAAGTATAGCATCACATGATCATGTTGCTTAACTATGGATGTGAGGGCTATCTGGCTGCAACATCTGTCACCCTATTGATCGCCAGGATTAACTACAGCAATTCTTGGCGTCATGGTTGTTATAACTCCAGATGTGCTGGTTGTTAAGTGGGAGGTAGAGTTCCAAGTAAGGTGCATGGGGATGCCACGGGAGAATGGGAGAGGCTCTGGGATGCCCAGCACAAGCCATGCAAGAGTTGGGGGGAGATTTTGCAGTACAAGGTCAGAGGCCGGGGAAAAGAGGATGCAGCATGCATGAAGGCATGGGTGTGAACATAGGGAAGCTGGGAAAAGAATACACTGCAACTCCAAGACTTTTGGTACACACAGCTCTGGGGATGCAAGAAGCCCCTATGATACAACACAGTGCAAAGCCCAGCCCCAATAGTGCAGCACAAAGTGACTTTTTCACATGCCATGGGGTCATGTCAAAAAGAAGAAACCCCTGAGCTACAGCACAACACCCAGCCCAGTCCAGCATCATGATATAAAGGGGCTTCTTGCTGTCCTGGGAAGCTGCAGCTGCCCCAGCTGAGTCCCAGCTTCAGTCGCCCTTACCATCCTGCACTCTACCACCCAGCTAACTTTCAACACCTCTTCTTACTCCTGGTGACGCTGGTGAGGCCTGCCTAACCTGGCCTTTTCCAAGGCAGCTGCTGGCCATGTCCCAGTCTTTCCCAGGTCTCGTCAGGAAACTGCTATGCACAACCTGGGGAAGAATGTGGCCAGCAGCTGCCTTGTGAAGGGCCAAGGTGAGTCAATAGTGGGAGAAAGAAGATAGCAAAAATCAGTTAGGACATTAAGGGCTGCAGAGTGCAAGGGGCCAAAAGGGCAGATGGGAGGAAGAAAGATGGGTAGGAGGAGCTGAATTGCCCCTGTAATCATAAGTGCAGGCAATCTGCCAAACTCCTGAATTTTGATAACATGACTGCAGCGGCTATAAACAGCTGTAATTTTTGAGACCAGTTGTAAGTCCCTTTGTTCAGCCCCATTATAACTCTGAGCAGTTGCTGAACAAATGGTCATAAGCAGAGGAAGTGTATTTTGAAACACAGAAGGAAAGTTCTGATTGGAATGCCAAACAGCATTGCGATAAAGTTGCTGGAGTTAAGGAGAGCCAAAGGAAAAGAAATGGCAAGAAAGAGAGAACTGGAAATAAAAGTGCTGGGGCCAACTAACTTCAAATGTAGGTTTAATGCAGGTGGCATTTAAAAATCACATGAGGCATGGCATGCTGACACTCCACACCAAGGAGCATAAGCCATATCATTCCTTCTCCCCCAGCCCAACTGTTCTATTGTCCTTCAGGTCTAGAAGGTCACTTAATTGAATTAATGGTTAACTCTCTTGCTATATTGATATGATCAATTATTTTGCCCCCTCCCCAAAATCTGGTTTCTGAAGCAGCCATACTTTAATGCTCCTGTATTGTAAGAACATTGACGTGTTCATCTATACTCATTCTATTTAAATTATGGCCTTTGCCAATGAAGCTACCCCTGACTAAAGGAAGTTTATTTTAGGATTTACCTGGCCATCATAGGCAGCCACGCTGGCAGTGTTGATAATTACTCCTCTCTGTCCATCTGAGTTTGGCTCGTTTTTACTCATCACACTTGCAACCAGACGAATCACATTGAATGTCCCAACAACATTGACCTGAAAAACACAAATGAAATCCAAGAACTTAAAATCTTGATTATGTTTCCCTCACCCAAGCCAGCACTGCCAAGCAAGATCATTGCATCAGCACAACAGAAGAAACTCGTGGCCAAATAAATACTATGCTTTCGTTCTGAATAGTCCTCTAACAAAATATTCAATTCTACCAATGTTTAGATAGCTATTATGAAAGCATCCACATCCAAGGAGGAGGAATTTGCAGGTTTGGGAGAAGGCAAAATATTCTCAAGACAAAACCTGGATTAAAAAATGTACTGAAGCTTTAAAAACCATTAAAACCCCCAGTAAACTTGCTCAGGTGATAAGAAGTAGAGAGAAGCTAAGAGTTGGGTGGTGAAAGGGCATAAAAAACAGTATACTAGTTGGCTAACAGCATACTAATTGGCTAACGTCCTGAAGAGGAGTACTACAACAATTTTAAAGCAATTTAACTGATAAATTATCTAAGTCCTTCCTGCCAAGATTGCTTCCCCCCATTAGGTCTAGCAGGAGATACATGTTCTGTCTATTAAGGAGCACCATCTGGCAGGGCCCAGGAAGAGATTTTATTCTCTTATGGTACCCATCCTTTGGAAGATCATCCCCCCCAGAGAGCACACTGGTCCCAACCCTACTTGCCTATAGCAAGGCATGGTTTTGTCACTGAGTTTGAGAATCCCAATGTATGGCAGAGGCCATGCAATGTTTGTGTTGGTTCTACTTTTACCTTAGCTGATGATTATCTCTGTGTTTTTTTTTTATTGTTAAGGCAGCCATGTTAATTTTAAAAATAATAAATTGGAAGTACTTGGAATAAGATCAAACAAATGTATAACGAGCTAAGGTGTCTGTCTCACAACATACTCACATTGATGACTCTATGGAAGTCCTCCAAACTATGACAATGATCTTTATGCACATTGTATGTCTTGAATGCCACTGCAATCCCAGCACAGTTCACTCCCATATCTATATGTCCAAATTTCTCCTTTGCTGTGGTGAGTGCAGCCTTCACATCTAATTCTGATGTCACCTGAATAAAGACAATTTTGAGAGTATGATCCAGGTCTGCTGTTACATTCTTTTTCCACATCCCTACTCACACCTGGGGAGAAAGCCCCAGCTCCCCATCAAACAAACTTTACATCAGCTGGAGTAAAGATGCATCTGTCTCCCAGTGATTTGGCCACGCTTTCGCCATCAGACGTTGGCAGGTCCACAATCGCAGCACTGCCTCCCTGTTGTATTAATCGTTCCACTGTGGCACGGCCCAGTCCAGAAGCCCCACCGGTTACAAAGCCAACCATGCCCTGGTGGGTAAAGAAAATAATAAGTTTACTACCTCACAGGGGTATTGTTGTGGAGAAAATAGGAGAAGGAAAGTGTGTTGGATATGTTTGCCACCATGAGTTATTTGTAAAAATAAAAGGTGGGATACAAATAAACAAAATAACTACAGACTTGATAGGCAGTACGATTGGTAATGCAATACAATCTCATGCTTCTCATAACTAGGTATGTGCCTCCAGACTTCCCTCAGTATAAAAGGCAGTCCAATATTTCCCAAAGAAAAATTTCCTCTTTCTTCTAGTTTCTTTGCTTCAGAGAAAAGCAAGAGTAATGAGTCTCAAGTCCTTCCTCCCCTCCTCTGCCCTGGATCTTTTTCTCCAGGCAACAATGGTAACAGAATTGCCTCATCTGACCATTTGGGAAAACAGATTCATCCTGGACAAGTTTAGTACAGAAAAGTGGTCAGTTTGTAAAATGACTTATTTTCTCAGCAAAACTGCCTGGCATCTGTCTGTATGAGAAACAAAAGCTAACTCCATAACCCCTTGAGGGAGTGGGGAGCCTGCTTTTATTTGCATTTGTTCAGCCTGCCAACAATTAAAGGGCAGAAAAACATAACTTTCAGAAAGATATCAGAGGAGGTTTCTTCCATATGTTTTACCAAATATGTATTCAGCTGGAAGAACACTTCTTGGCAGTGGCATTATTTGATCTACGGAGATTCTCAATTATCCAGGTCATGGTTGTCTCAAAAATGCTTTTCTAAGGCAGCTAGACTTTTCTTGGTTTGGTTTCTCATCCAAGAAGCGAAACGTTTTCAAAGAAAATACCAAGAAAGGCCAGTTATCTTTTGGAAAAGCACCTCTGGACAACGTATGATCTGATTAAATATTAACCGTTTGCTAGATTAGGAAAAATGCTTGAAATTCTTCTAGTTGAAACTGATCTCTGCCGTATGTATTGCATTTGCTTTGATTGTACTGTATTTCCTACTCCAGTACGTTATTTCTTAGGATAATTACCGGTACATAAAAAACTCCGAATTCTAAAATGGAATGTTTTTTTCAGATCCTCCTTTCCGCCACCCAAGACTGGGAATTTATCCCTCTGGTCCCTTTCTCTGCTCGATGACGGTGATGGTGGGGGTCTCCCCTAATTTCTCGTTCCCTACCGCGATCTTCCGTGGTATTAACATGGATCCCCTCCCTCCCCTCCGCAACTCCATGCCCAAGTGCAGTCGCGGCGTCCCACATGGCATTGCCTATTTATTACCTTCAGGCTCCTCAATGCTGCCGCCATGCTGCTCTGCAAAGGGTCAACTTTCAAGCCCCGCCTCCTAGAGAAGCGGAGACGGAAACGGCGGTAAGAGTTGGTTGATGATAAGGAGGTGGTACGTTAATTCCTCAAGTTTGGTCCTCGTACTAAATCCTACCTTTAGCCACAGAAACCTGTTCTTCTTTGGTTTTATCCACACGTCTATGTCAAGTCAGAGCTCGTTGAAGAACCTCTTCATTCGGCAAAAGGGCTGTTTTCATCCTGGTTCAGGACGTTAGAGCGCAATCTTACATAGACAGCATTAGAATGCTGTTCTTTTTTTCTTTTTTTTGCAAGAGTGCCTCTAAGAGAGAGTTGCGACAGTATTCAGCTAAACTCAATCGCTCCCTGGGGTGAGCGTGTAAAATTAGAGATTTTAAGTACTCTGAAAGAATCAGGTAGGTGGTTATGCTGATGATTGAAGTGAACATATTCTGACAAATCGAGAGCAGTTAGGTATTTGGTTGGGAAACTACAAAACTAGACTAAAAAGTAAAAAAAAAAAAAACCCTATAAAAAGGTAGTGGCAATCTACTTGTATATTGGTGCCAAGAAAACCACATAGATGTGCCCAAAAAAGTAACCAGGAGTGGAACTTACATACAAGTCACTCTCCATGAACCCAAAATTATGGATGTGTAAATATTTTCATTCAATTGTATTATTTTTCTCAGCAGTATTAATGCCTAATATTTAGCTTTTGGCTAAAGTTAACATAGAAGCCATGGCTTACTTTTAATATATTTAGGTGGTCCTATTGCTTGTCAAGTGAGCATGCATTTGTAGCCCCATTTTACATTAGATATCAGGGAGTCAAGATTACCTATAAATGTCAAACATACTTAGTAACAAATTCAGATTTATGCAAGTATATTTCCCATTCTGATATCTTCCAGCTATGTGAGGAAGCATGAGACATTAAATTTTGGAATTATGGAAATTCAGGAGTTGGGAAGGATGGTATTAAACTTTTAAGAAAAATGTATGTAAAACTTTATAAAAATGTATATTGACATATTTAATGTAGTATAAATCTAAATAAGATTTTTTTCAGTTTTGCTTCATGACTCCTTATAAAATTAGGTATTTAGTAGCAATATTCACTCTCTAATTTGCTCAGTTGGAAAGAGGGAAAGAGAATGACTAAGGGTTGTAGAAATTACTAGGTTTAGTGTTAAGATAAACAACTTGGTTATCAATTTTACAATGTTGTAAATTTACCACATTAAAAAAAAAATCCATGATCAAAGTTGCTAATATATACAATTAGTTAGGCTGATGGCTATGAAAGAACATAAAAAGGATAGAAAATATGGAAATTCAACTGACTCTGGAAATCAATATTTGCTTCTAAATGTTACTTATATGCAACTTATATAGGAGACCGTAAATAAAATCATTAGTTGGATCTGGATCACAACAGAGGAGGTATCCAATCCAGACAAATTGTATCACTTACTAGCAACACAGAAGTTTTTCTTTCCAATTTGCTTTAAGTTGTTTGTGTGGACTGTGTGTTTTGTACCATTTTATTCTCTTATTCCATCAAACTCTCTAGCTTAACCCAAAGTAAAACCAGGTACATCTAATCAGTCACTGTGTCACTGGCTATTAGCAACTGGCAAAATTTATAACTCATTCATGAAGTAGTGTGATGGCTGCAGATTTCATTTACCATGAGTTTGATCTATGTAACAGATTTCAGGAAATATAGATGTATGAATGACAGCTGCCAAATTTGAATTGGTAAGCTATAGTATCATTGATATAGTAACAATAAATTTTTCTAGCCAGGTATGTGTAAAGTTAAAATGAAATAAACCATTATGGAGAACAGGATGTGCCAATAATAAATGCACTTAATTATTCACTAGCTATGAAGCTCCAACACACATGCTTAAAAACAAAACTATTCATAAATTGTATTAACACAAATTATAAAAGACAACCTTTCAAATGGGAAAAGTGTATTTCAAGCTATGGAGAAGAGTAAATTTATTATTTTGCTTTGTAATCAATTTTTGAATTTTCAAGCAGTCAGATATATTTTTCAGGATGTATTACATATGCTCAGTTGCTCTACTTTTTTCCCAGGGAGGAAAAAAACCAACGGAACCGTCTTTCCAAGTTGAATCACTTCAGAACACACACAAAAAAGACTGCATGTTTAAATGCTTCCTAATACCAACCTTCTCATATACTTGAAATACTAGCATCTCTATGAGAAATTGAAGATAATGAACCTGTCTCCACACCTATTTCCACACATCAAAAACATGCAAGCATATTTAGTCTGATGCTCAGGAATGATTGTATTATCCCTCCACTTAAAGATGCTAAATGCAATTTACTCCATAAAAAAGGCCACATTGAACCATTTCTAAGAAAGTTATCATGTCCTGGCTTTTTACACGAGGAATGCATTTCTCAATGAATATTTCTTTTTAAAAAGTACTGTTCTAGAATTTACTATTTTTTTTACCATCAAACTTCCTGGTGTTTTGCAATTATAAGTTTGCAATAAGTTTAGATTTTTTAGTTCTTAAGTATTGAATTGTAAAAACATATCAGCATGGATTACCAACAGCTCAGAAGAAAAAAAATTAGTTATACAAGTAGACTATGCTTAACAACTGCCCTATTTAGCAACTGTACAAATTTACAACAGCGCTAAAAAAATAATTTTATGACCAGTCATTTAACTGTTGCACTGTGCCTGCAGTCATGTGATCAAAACTTGGGAGTTGCACAACCAGGGGGAGGGTATGTACAATTGCCAGTGTCCCACTGTCTTGTGATTGACATTGGTGCGCTTTGCAACTAGCTTATAACAAGTAGTCAATTGAGAAACCAACAGTAAAATTGCAAGTTGCTTTGATGCAGCTATTCTTAAAACCAACATTGCTTTGCTTTAACAACTGAATGGGAAGTGACATCCTAAATCCGTTATGGATATGATGTTTCACTTAGTGATGATGATGTTTACCATCAGAGTTGCTGATCCCAATTGCACTAGGTAAGTGAGGACTACCTGTAACGCAAAATTTCATATTCACTTTTTTCTTTTGTAACTCATATTCTTCCTTCACTATTTACTCCATGCCAGTTCTCCTGAACAGAAACAAAACTGTTACAGAGTAAAGCATATATAGTATAATTTGTCTGTATACCCTCACTTACATATGCATTATGAGCACAGAATATGAGGCTATAGATATCCAAAATAAAACAGTCACACGCCAAATTGGAAAGCGCTTTGTACATTAAGTGCTTTTTTTATAATAAAAAAAAGTACAAAGTCCTGATACGAAATATACAAAAAAATCAGCCAAGGAAAATGGTTGCCTTTCTACAAATATCAGTAGCATTGCATAGAACAGCCTCTGTGGGGTATAGGGAATGGGCAAATCCAACTGGGTATGATGCTTTAGGAACATTGCTAGGAAATTGTCTGCAGTTATACATAAAGTACACCGGAGCATAAAATCACATATACACGTTGTTGCTAGAAACATCTTGCCATTGCTTTCATGTACTGAAGCATTGGAGAAAGTATCAAACACAAGAATAAGCCATCATCACAGCCCTTTTCCTTGCATTAACAACCCCAAGGAAAATACTGTGCAACCAGAGCTATTATTGCTTCAGCTAAGCCAATGGGTGCAAGGTTGCCATTTAGATTACGAGCTATTACAAAGTCAGTTTGAATGGCAGAGCCCTGCATTGGCAATGGATGAGTCCCAATTGGTTAGGCCCGACCCTCAATGTGGGAAAAGCAAGGCTGGGATTATGTTTTGATGGCATGAGGCACTGGTCGGCCGCTAGCAGGCAGACTAAAGCTAAAATATATACAGGGGGAGTAGAATCCTTATAAGCAGAAGTTCAGGGAAGGTGCGAAAAGCCAGCAGCTTAATAATGCTGAATGGAAAAAGGAAACCCTGAGCTGTTTTAAAAAGGCCTCTGGGCAGACAAGACCCTGAGTAGCCACCAGGGGACAGGGCAAATAAGCGTACAGCCCCCACACAGGCAGGTAGGAGAAGATGCTAAGCATCAAACAATTAAGGGGGTGCTTGCACACAGTGCCCCCAGAAGGGCAGAGAGAGAAATGCAGTCAATACAATAAATAAAGATACAAAATAATCTATGTGACCGCTGCTGATACACTCCATCTTTTGCCATGTCCAAGTGCAATTGGTCAGCATCAAAGTGCCACTGAGGTCCCCATAGGAAAGTCCAACCAGACACACTGTTCTTTTATAAGCTAATCTAGCCATCTTCTTCCACCTCGGAATCCTTCCCATCTGGCTCCTCTCGGGAGGACTTGGATCCAGCAATATCATCTTCTTGGCCACTTAATACCTCTTCCACCACTTCACCTGTGTTAGTAAATAAGATATGTCAATATTTGAAGCAGCTGATGAAAAATACTCCTTTACCCATGTTTCCAATATTTAATTGACGGAATCCCAAGACCTGCACTATAAAATATAACACTGCAACTTCAAAAGATCCTCAAGGAAATGGATCATCTGGATCTGGGATTGAAGGAATACAACCTCCTGATCCTCCTTTATTTCTCAGTGGCTTTTGATACCATCAATCATGGTATCCTTCTGGGCTGGCTCTGAGGGATATTTTGGGGTGGGGGCATCTGGTGGAGAGACATTGTTCTTCAGTGGTGTTCTTTTCTAATAAGGTTGATTCCAGTCAGTGAAGTGGAAGAAAATCTGCTTGGAAGTCTCTCCTGTGAAACACCTTAGACCCTTTCTTCTCCCCACTTTCCTTTAATCTACATGAAACTGTTGGGAGAGGTCATTTACTGAAAGATTAGGTATCTGTTGCCTACTTATATACAGATATCATCAAACAGATGCCATAGAAGTGCTGACTTAGTGTTTAAAATTTCTCAAGAAAGGAATGGACTCTAACTGAATTCTTCATAGCGGGAACAACTTTGAGTCTTTAGGCCAATGACTTCAGGACATCATCATCTTTGGCTCTGAATTAGACTATGTATTCCTGCTCAGAGATGGGGGGCAAATTAATAGTCCTACTGAACTCAAAGCTTTTGCTCAAGTAGCTGGTGACAACTATGAAAGGGAAGGCTATTGCCCAATTAGGGCAAATTGCTCTGTCACCCATTGCCCCAGTCACCTCTACTTTGGATTATTGTAATGCATGCTACATGAGGCTTTGAAAAGCATTTTCAAAAGCAAAATGCAGCAACCTATGCAGGTATTTATCATTCATTATACCTCAGTGACCACACTGCTTCAGGGCCTGCATTGGTGCCAATTAGCTTCTGGTGGGATTCAAGGTGCTGACTGTCACCTTTAAGATCTTCCATCATTCACCATCTCTATTTCAGATTGCTATATGATGAAACCTAGCAAATGGGCATTTTAGTCACTGTTCCCACAATTTAAAATTCCTTGCCTACAGAGATCTGCTCTACACTTTCTTTCTGGATTTCAGGAAAATTGTTAAGACCTGGCTTTCCCATTTAGCCCAGGAGGAAGACATGCTTTGAATACAGTATAGGAATACATTTATGGGCATATGATTTTGTATTTTTTTTCTTATTTCTTGTGGTGTTGAGATTTTTCTTATTTTTCTATAAATCGGGTGGGCAACTATGGCCCTTTTATGACTTGTGGACTTCAACTCCCAGAATTCCTGAGCCAGCCATGTTAGCTCAGGAATTCTGGGAATTGAAGTCCACAAGTCATAAAAGGGCCATAGTTGCCCACCTCTGCTATACATGTATTATTTTTATTGAGAGGTTCCTTTTATGATGTCCCTGATTGTTAGCTGCTCTGAACCTTTAGGAATGAACAGCGAAGTACAGCTAGTCCTCAACTTACAAGCATTTGTTTAGTGATAGTCTGAAATTACAATGGCACTGAAAACAGTAACTTATGACCGTTACGACCGTTGCAGTATCTCCATGGTCACGTGATCAAAATTTGGCCAGTTGGCAACTGGCATGTATTTATGACAGTTGCAGTACCCTGGTGTTATTGATCACCTTTTGGAACCTTCTGACAAGCAAAGCCAATGGGGAAACCAGATTCATTTAACAACCGTGTTACTAATAACTGCAGTGATTCACTTTATAACTGTAGCAAGAAAGGTCATAAAATGGAGCAAAACTCACTTAACAACTGTCTGTTAGCAATGGAAATTTGGGCTCAATTGTGGTTATAAGTCAACGACTACCTGTATCAGCATGTATTTACTTACTTACTTAAACATTTATATAGCTGCCCATCTTATAACAAACTCTGGATGACTCATAATTATTCTGTATTTCAGATCCAAAGGCTATATCATTTTATGAGGAGCAGTTGCATTTCACCATTACTTACCTTGTCCAGTCTCTTCTTCATCTATGATCTCATGGACATCTGCCACCCCATCTTCCTCATCTTCGCCATCATCATCCACAATCACAACAAAGTCATCACCATTTTCTGTCTCACTAAACATAAGGGAAGGAGGGAGTGTATCACCATTTATCTATCATCTTCTGCGGACTTCCCAGCTGTATACCACGAAGCCCTGTCTTCATGAAGTCCACTTCTCCTACGTCTCTTTAGTTCTCTCCTCCTACGTCCTGCTGCCACAAACCTAGACAAAAATCTATATCCACACACAATGGCAGGCTTAGATTCTTGCCAAAAGTATCACTCATACTATAATCTCCATAACAAGGAACCAAGTAACTGCCTGATTCTTACCTGTCTTCTTCACCATTTTCACCACCTTCCCCCATCAGGTAGTACTGAAGTGGATTGGGCCACAGGTCTTCTTTAATGATCTAGAGAAAACAGAAGAGTGTGACAGCTAAAAGGCCATACTGATGCAACAAACATTTTAGAGGGTGTGGTCCACTAGTGCTGACAATGGTGGATGCTGAGGCTTGAGCAACATTTGGGGAGCAAGTTCCCATCAATGGCAGTATAGTCCCACCTCAGCAATGCGATCTCCTGCAGGAAAGCTATGGTCACAGAACCAACTGAAGAAGCTGCGGCTCATTTCAAAGTTCTTCTGGCCATGAGCTAGTGGATCCTGGCCACGCCACCAGCGAATTGGTGTAGAATGAGAAACTAATCTCCCTGGAAAGGATGGGGAAAAAAACCATACAGCTGTAAAGAAATGCATGTCAAATCTGACCTTTCATCCCTCAAAACTCTGTCCCTTTGTGCATACCAGAGGAACCACACTGGAACTCCTTCACAATGACCTCATTCTGGAAATAGGGATTGCTGCTGAAGTAGAACTTGATCTTGCAGCCTGACTTTGCATGGGTGAAATCCACAACCTACATATCAAAGAACACCATAATCATAACATTAGCAAGGTACTGCCACAGTGTCTGGATGCAAATAATCACACTACAGTTTATTAGCCTGAGAGTTCATCACCACTGGATTAATACTACTGGAAAAGCCTACACTGACAGAGTAGCAAGGTACTTTTTATTACCACCCTTACTTAGCTCACTATGGGGACTTTCAACAGGAAAGAATTCAGAAATGTCAACAGCAATTTAGTTGCTTTCATTGATAAATTCAATTTCAAGCTAGTTCCTAGACTTAGCCTAATTTTGTCTTTAAATGTACACTAATTGGTATGCGTTAAAATGAAATTTCATTGCATACAGCTCTCAAAAGGGTCACCACCTCCAATATACA